ACACACATACATACACACACAGACGGGATCGTCTCAATATGCGTTTTTGCAATTTGCATATAGGCAGAAACGCATAAAAAGGAGAAAATCGCACCCAAAAGTATGAACTGCTATCCAAATAAAAAAAAAAAAAAATCAGAACGGCGTAAAATTTAATCAAAAGGCTGCAGCAGAAGCCAAGAATTATCAAATTATGTCATTTAAAGAACAGATCCAAATATTTTAGGGGAAGCCGAATCGAAAACAGGAAAGACGGCAGCAAATCTGAAGATGCACCTCCCTTCTGTTGGGAGGCAACTGCGTTATTGCCAATACTTTCAATAAAATATTCACTCTCGATCCCACTGACAATAACCTTTAGAAAGCCAACGTTTGGGAGAAAGTACTACGCCAAAAAATATGCTACGCACTATTTATTCAGCAATTTTCTGGAAAGTAAAGTAATGAAATTCTGATAACTAACTATTAAATATTTGGTATAAGTGCTGCGAATGGCACCAGTGAAGGCCGTGCTAGATGGTCGTTCTAAGAACCCAAAATTTAATCCTTTAACTTTTAGTAGTCCTGCCTGCTGAAATTAAAAACAGAATTTCCTCAAGAACGAAGAACAAAACGGGACCATCCTACCGACGACTAAAACATACATGATGGCGAATTCGCCATTTCCGTTGGTTGGTTTATTCGTTTGCACTGTTGTTAAATAGGTACCATGATGGCCAATGATAAGCGCTTGTATTTTCTTTGGTTCCAGATCATAAGCAGCAGTTGAAGGCAGCGAACTATACTGTAATTACCACATACGAAGCATTCTCACTTTACCCAGAAAATGTCCAGTTTGCGGATCTCTTGAAAATTATCTTACAGCTGCGCAACCATCTCCAGTGTATGACAATGTGAAGTTGGTTTGCCCAGCATTCAAGCGAAACATCTGCTTTAGGCCTCTGGTTCGATCATTCACCAAAGACTGCAATAACTAGACGCTGTCACAAAGGCATATTAAAAAGCTTGTATTAGCACAGAATTTCGGATCGTAAATTTGAAAATATTTCTCGTTAGTGGCAAATTTGTTAGACATTTGCCTCGATTTCCAGATACAGAGCATTACATCTGACGGGGTAGGCTGTGAGTTAAAAATAACGACGCCGCTAAGTTTTGTCGTTGGGATCCAATTTCAGTTAAGACACGTGAAACTGTGTTGAAGGCCAATAACCTGCTTCAACATAAGTTGCTCCCACTTTTTGAGAGAAAGTAGGGTCTGATTTACCAAAAAAAAACGGCCTCAGATTACTAAGATAGAGATTACTTTTGCAAAATGTATAATCTTAGATGTGCCACTGCTTCTTGTACAAAAGATTTACATTCAAATACAAATAAGTGGCTCGGAAATGAATTGTACGTTGAATTTACATAATTCGCAGGCACAGTTTTCGGTGCGATGTCCGGATATTCCATCGCAGCTACTGTGACGCTACAATTTTGCAGGGTATTCGTTACGGATACGAAGCTTTGCTGCTGTCCTGGTAATTCGGCCAAAGATGTCTGTAACTGCTTGTATTACACTGCATAATTTGCCTTAAAAAAATTTTCCGAAGTCGATGATGCTGAAGGAAATACAAGAACGAAAACTTACATTGATTTGCAATTGAACAAACCCAGCAATAACAAATGAAAGAGCAGCAAGCACACCACCGACTACCATCCTCCGAAGTGGTCTATAAATTGTTGTGGAAAAGTAAGTGTCACAGCTACACAGTGAATGAATTTTCTTACGTATGTCTACCTTCGTGTCTCAAAAAAGCGCTTGATCGCATAACATTTGTCAGCGTGTGTATTTTGCTTCAATAAAAGTTTAAGTGTAACACTGACAAACATTCTACAGTGTTACTGAGAGCCAATTTCACGTAACTTTTGACAAGAATGAAAATGCTCGAGAACGTCAAAGAATCGGACTGAGAAACAGTGATATTCCGATGCGGAGGTAATTTAGAACATCGTTATAACTACACAGAGCATTTATCAAACGCTATAGTGGCCAACATTGATTGCAACGATTTGCAAAACCACACCATGCTTATTTTGAACGCCAAAACATTACTTTCTAAGTTTATATTTTGGACCCAGGAGCGCAGAAGAGTTGGTACATTGAGGTCGAAGGATAAAATAATGGTACGAATTAGTGATGGCTTTACCAGTACGTTGATATGATAACAAACTAATTTAACACCCGACTCTGTGTCTTCCTTTGCAATTGATGTATAGCACGCCAAGGTAAAATCCCAAAGCGAAGTGCTCTATAATGTCAGGGTAAAATCCGCAAGCGAAGTGCGTTAATGCTGAATCTGCGGTATGAAAAATAAACAGCTGGCTGGAGTGAGTTGCATACGTTTTGGTTTTCAGTTGCTGCCCCTTCAGAACATGTTCAATCAGCACTAGTATATCACAGGTTTTTGAGTTTGAGTACTTTAGAATTCATTCACGTTCTCTGAAGCCCAAAATTTTACCTGTAATTGTGCTATTCCTAATTATCAGTACTGCTTATAAAAGCGTCTTAAAATTACAGATCCACCATTCAGAGGCCTAGCCCGTATTCAAGGGGTTTTAATTTAGAAATAAACTTGTAAGTCATTTTTTGAAAACTCACGTGAAATCAACGAATCTGCTGATTAGTGGATATATAACAATCTAAAAATAGTACACATCAGTGTTTTACCTCATTGCACTGACCGTCCAACATCTTCACAAAAATTAATTGACTAGCTGAGTTAAAAGAAGAGTGTTTGGTAGGAGGAGGGCATCAACAGATGCAGTGTGCTAGGAACAGTTCTAAATTCAATCAAACCTGGAATAGGGGAATGAAGAGAAGAATGAGAACAGCATTCATTGTCTGCATTTGATCAGGAAGAAGCAAAAAGTTGCCCCAAAGGCGGCAGTTCATCTGGACTGCTTGGATGGTCCAAACTGACCCCTGTAAATAAACATCAATGAATTTCAAAACATCAAACAAAAGGGAAGGGGGATCGAGCAGCAATACAAGCAATGCTCATATGTATGTTGCTTTTGTCACGACTTCCTCAAAAAACCGAACATCGACCTAAAGATCGGAGAAAATGCTTGGTTGCATCGAATGCAAAGGCACTGCGGAAGTCACTGATCAAATTTAACTAAAGAATGGTAAAATTGCTGAGAGATGAAATACGCGCGATAAAAAAAACAAAATATAGCAAGTTCAAAAAGGAGTTCAAACTCAAATTTTTTTTCATCACTGGACGTGCTGAACTAGCTCAAAAAAAAGCTGTTATGGATACGAGGTGCGATCGTTTTTTCGATTGGCGCATTCACTCAGTAATGGCTAGTTCGACACAATATATAATGGTTAATCGAGTGTGTTTGATGGTGCGAGCTGCTATTTTACATTACACCCAGGTACCAATGTACCAGGCTTGCCAGCAGTGTCATGCGTTTTTGTATGATTCTTTCTGTCGAGAGGTCATCTGTAATACTGGAGTGTGACTGCGACGTTGCAAATTAAATATTTAATGCGACTGTACAGGGCTCATTCTTAAGTACAAGCATATCTTGGGCTTGCTGCTTCCCACATGAACAACAAATGATTTCAGAAAATGTTGCTTCTTGATCAGTTTGGTTACCGAGTCAATAGTTTAGTTACTGAGTTAAGATGTGTTTCTGCTTAGACATGAGCACTACGTACAGGAGCATCAAATATTTAAGTTGCAACATCGCGGTCGCAGCTTAATTTGGTTACCAACAGTTCCCGAGCTAAATATCCAATTGCACGCATGCGATACCTAGGCGTGCTTTAAGGTTGAATTTAAAATATTTAGGTGACAAATTGGCAGAGAATATCTCGTTTTACCTTCCTAGCATTACTGATTAGCGAAGTCGCTTTTCGCTACAAATATCTTTAATGCGACGGAATGCGCGGTACGGGCATGCGCAAAAGTTCATTTTATGCCTACTTGCCCACCTACAGCAATCACATATCCTCTTAGTTTATCTTTGGAACTGGCATTTTCCTAGCAATTAAGAAATTTCAACTTTGACGCGTCCATATACGGGATGTGTGTGTGTGTGTTTTAAAGCCGAATTTGGTACCTTTAGCTCACATAATGGCACAGAATATCCCTGTGAATTTTAGTTTCCAACCTTGTCTGGTTCATGAAATCGTTTTGCCACCAAAAAACTTAAATTCTTTTAGGTATCCATACATAAGACCTAGGCACAGTATGAGCGATGACTGTAAAATCTGGAGCATCGCATATGTTTTGGGGTGCGAACATACTCCAAAAATTTAAATTTCCTAGCTCCTCTGGTTGCTGAGCCGAAAATGGGTGACAGAAATGCCAAAACACAAACATATACCGACAAACTCCTGCCAACATGTGCTTTTGCGTTTGCATACATGTGTAAAAACGCATAAAAAAGGATGCACATGGGATGAGGACATACTGCAAAAGTTTTAACTCCCAGCTTCTCCGGTTGCTCATTTGAAAATGTGAACAAACAGACACACAAACATACAAATAACCTCTTGCAAATATGTGCTTTTACATTTGCATAAATATGCAAAAACGCATAAAAATGCCCTCTTCCTTCACGCTTCAGAAACTCATCCGGCTCTTTAAATTGGCAAAGTTGTTATTGTTGCGAATGAGGGAAGCAAACGACATTGAGTTCAAATTCCAAAAGTTTGTTTCACTGTGAGTAAAACGAATTTTTACATTCTTCAGTGGCTAAGGGTGATAACACTTTACTGTGGTGACATAAAAATAAATGCTGCAAGTCAAATCGTGATGTCCATCACCACCAGCTTTGTTAATATTTCGAAGATGTCGCGTGTTAGCGATCAGTAGCTGAAGACAGAAACATTCGTTCAGACAAACTTCAAAGGATAATGGACGTATTTGATGAATGCAGCAAGTAACATGTGAGGGGAAATATCCAAGAGCGGAAAGGAGCCTGTCGCACAGCCCTATGTAGGCAGTTCCAAAGATTATTGCGGCTTTGAGCCAAATATTGAGTCAAAAGCAGTGGTATAAGTAGCTTTGGAAGAATCCCGCTGTACTCCCATAACTTATGAAAATACGTAAGGTGTAAAACCGATAGCCAGAGCTCAGCTAGTGCAAACCTGTTGGTCGTACAGAGCCCAAAACATTGGGACCGGGAGATACATGACAAGCACTCGAATAAGCGATTTCGCATCCTCAACGAGCTGCACCTGCAATCCACTGCGCTCGTAAATTAGTTAGCAAATGCACTGCATCATTCCAACAAATAACAAAGCTTATTCAAGGCAATGGGTAAGAGTTTTTCATCACTTGTATTGGAGCTATTCGTGCTCTGTAAAAACTGCGCTTATTTTACTAAAAGGCTTTTTTCACTTCCATAGCAGCAGAGGTTCAAACTGCTTCGCTTTACAAACTTAAGATTTCTTACCTTTTGACATAAATTATCATTTTTACTCGCTACCCGTAACCTCAAGCATTGATCATCGGCGTCACAGTTGTGTGTGTCTAGGTAATGATCCATCCAATGACCTCGTTTCTCGTTACACTTATACTTGTTTTTAATAGCAGTCTGGAACTGCGATATGTTAAGAAAGCCTTTTTATGCAAAAAGTTGAATAAGAATCATTTTTTGAGTTTTTACATATTTAGATGTAACAAAGGCTGGAACGCACCAGGCGAGCCGGTGCGATCATGCGTTTTTGCATCAAAACTAAA